AGCCCATCACAAATGTGTCTTAACAAATAAGCATAACTAGACCGAAAATATACGAGTCAAACTAATGAAAATAAGATTGATAAGGAGAAAGAAGAAAATTCGAAGAATATGTTATAAGCAGAAATAATAATAAAGGATATATATATAGATAAATACTGAAACTAGTGGAAAATGAAATAGAAATATATGTGTGTTATGGCCATCAAAATTCTTCAGCGATCGGTCACTGTAATGGACCCTACAGCGGATCGTAATCAATCAGTCTGTATCTGTTAATAAGGCCTAGTTAAAAAGAAAGTGAATTTATGAACTGATCCCATGTCTTGTTTTAGCCACATCTAACTTTCTGCTGACGTACTCTGAATAAGTAACTATTTGAATCCTAATTATATAATGTGAATTATAATTATGCTAAATTCGGTCAAGTTATATTTCAGTCAGTAAGTCAGTTACAACGTAGGATTAGGCACACAGATCCATCGTTCCAAGTTGTTATACCTCATTAGCACAACAAGATCAACACCGAATTCATAGAAGTAGTTAATTCAGAGGTGGTAATATATAAGAGAAAGATTGTTTATAAGGATATAGTACAGGAAGAAAGAATTAGTTCGCAGAAAGAAAGATATGAAGAGATTTTAATCTCATAGTTTAAAAGAAGACAAAGTATGTATACACCTACGCCATTGTGATCGATTCTGAACCATGTCACACACAGTCTCCAACCATTGTTTAGGATAGTCATGTGGATCCCAATCAAGTAGTCTGCGTTTACCAACATGGCTCAGACTAGAAGTTAATGACTTCAAGCGCTGATGCCACGTTTCAGTTTGGCCACCCCTGACATTTTTCCAACCATCCCCAACACCAGTCAGTATTGCGCGTCGTAGTAGTCGGTGTTCAAGCATACGCAACACATGACCCAACCATCTTAGTCGATGAAGATTCATAACCTCATCAATTGATTTACTATCATTCCCTAATACCTTACGTTTAACCTCACTATTACCTACCTGGTGATCCCAGAAATATTTCTAAGACATCTGTGGCCAAATACTAGTAGCTTACGAATATCTTCAACTCTTAATGGCCACATTTCGCAGCCATAAAGTAGAATAGAACGAACTGCCGCGCAGTATACTCGTCCTTTTATTGATAGACGGACATCTCGCCTTCGCCATAGATAACGTAAGTTGGCAAAAGCCAAACGAGCTTTTCGAATCCGTGCTGAGATTTTGTCAGACACCAACCCATTAAGGCTGATCAGACTTCCAAGATAAGTGAAGTTATCGACGCGTTTTAGGGTCAAATAATTCTTTTATATAGTTAGCTTAGCAACTTTACCTCTACCCACAAGCAATCAAACAGAATATTACTCCCTACTAACATCATTTTTTAAAATTTCATTAACAATGAAGATTTAACACACATAACTTGACTATATTGTTTAGATGAATTTGATATTACTGTCATGAGATTTTGACATATCAAGTTATCGTCAACGTAATGTATGAAAGGCTTCAACTTTAAGCCATTGGTATTTTGGTGTAGTGAAACATTAGTGACTTGTGCATTACTACACCATAGATAAAAGGGAACCAACTGATAAGTTTGTAAATGATTAACATTAACCTGAGAAAAGTAAATCATGCAACGATGGTCTATGGACCAAGTGAAAGATTACAATAAGGAGAATATAAAAATAAAGTAATCCATATTTCTTATAATTATACAATAAAGATGTAAACAATAGTTCTTTATAAGATAGTTCCATGAGTTACAGCCACCTCATAATTTGTTCCTTTATCACACCTATCTATGCGGTTGAGTTGAAAAAACCTTTTCTTTAAAAAATTACCAAAACTGAAATAATGTAAAGGTATAAAAGCCTTATTTGAATGATATAATCCTTATTTTCATCAGTTGAATAGATAAATAACCAAACAACAGGATAATATAACCGGAAACCTCTTTTTTCATATTCAGCTTACAATGGACTACAAAAACGTCAAATTTTTAAATCTACATCATTTTTGCAAGATCAAGTCAATTCTAAGATCGGTTACTAAGATGCAAAGTTCAAATATAATCTTGATGATTCATAGAGATCAAGTTGAAAAGGTTATTGAAAGTAAAATTGGAGTTATAATTTGTAATGCTAGAAAAACGAAGTTAACTAATTAATCAACAAATATGTTATACCTAACAAGTTTATTGGTATTTAATTGATTTTTAGACATAATATATGGAATATGTAACTAAATATATAAGAAATTGACAGTAATACTGGTCAACATTAGATCTAAGTGGGTATTCAATTGTTCTACCTTTAGGAATGGGCTCACAATGGTTCCTAAAGTTGCTTAAATCTTAGCAACCATTTTAAGCAAGTTTATAGTACCGGTATGAAGTGTACGGTTACTCAGTAAACAGCTTGATCGATATTCAATTTATTTAAAATTGAATAGAAACCATGCATCAGTGATAGGTCAGTAAAATGAGCACAACAAATTCATATCTGATGTAGTATTTACTGGAAACAAATATCAGGAATAGATCCACTGTAACTCCAATATGAGTGTTTTGCGAAACTGCTTCAGTGTCATGAGAAAGCTAATTATCAAATAATATTTCCTCCAACTATTCAAATTACCTTAGGCTTTTTCTAACGACCAACCGTAACATCTCAATCTTAAGCATCAGTCTTGTCTTCGTTAAACATCATGTGAAGAAATTTTTATGTAGACCCACGGTTCAGGTAGTATTATTAGAAATGGATGATCGACCGAAGTACAAAGAGGTAGAAAAGTTCAGTTATATTGTTGGATATTTTGGCTAAAAGCGTAAGAGCTTACGTATTGGAAATGAAATGAACCATAAATTAACATTTTAAGCTTTTTGGGCGATGAGGTGGTGTTCCTCCCACAAATTTTTATTCACACTACTGTGTATTCAGAGTAATTTTGGTGTGGAATTTATTTTTCCGCGGAAAAATTGTCTTTCTGTCGTAAACTTGGACTAGTTAAAAACGTATATAAATTGTGTTTTTCTAAGTGCGAATTATTCCCAATCATAGACCATTTGTTTTCCCCAAAGATTCTATGGGCCCAGTGTTTTGTTTACTCAAATTGTCAGTGAAAATTTGTTTTAATTATCCTGAAAATTCACTCGATTATATTGTGGTGTGGGTTACGTTTATCCACAAAAGTAGTATATAACAGTGGTCATGCATAGAATGTATTTCAGTAGAAGATCGATAAGGAAAGAACGGGAACGGAACGCACTTGGTATGAAAATGCATGAACAATGAAATCTTATACAATGGACTGATATTTGCAAAAGGAACAGTCAAGTTTGAAACAATAGATTGATATTTTGCAAATTAAATATTTACTATATGGTTCTCAGATTTTAGTGAGATGGTCTGTATTTTCGTGTCAAATGCATTCGATTGTTCCCACTCATGTTCTTGTTCACTACAATATTATTAGGCAAACAACAAACCTACAGCACTTCATAAATGTTAGCGAGAAACAGCAAAGATGAATTAAAGCACCAGGTTAAGTGAAACGTTTGGACAGAAAATTACTAAAAGCCGGGAATTTTATGTTTCCAAAAAACTACTGTCTATCTAAATATGGAATATGACGCTATCAACAGTGAAAGTCAACAAAGATACGAAAACTTTATTCAACATAAAGACTACTTTGGACACCATACTCTCTAATCTACTCCCACGAAAATCCTCGATAGAAAACTGAGATTTCCATCACCATGTAAAGATACAGTCTTCCTAATTGTAGCATCTTAAATCTCACACGAAAGGACGTTTGATGAAACAAATGTTAATTTAATGTTATATCACTTGTATAATGAATCCAATTTACACAAACACCCATTTAACTGACAGTAAATTTCATCATAATTCTCAATCCCATAAGTTGCCAATTGCTCAGATAGACAGTCTACCTTGTTGGTCATATTTCTTAATTTTTTATTCTTCTGATATTTGAGTGAATAGTTGAACATAAATCTATTATGACAACGCGTTTCTTGTACTTCGATATTGAACAGTTACACACTTCCATAACATTCTTAACTAGATTAACTAGATGCGGACAAACACTAATTTGATCAAAGAACTATCTGAGACGGTAAATCAGTTTAGTTGGCCATCTTTGCAAATTAAATTTGAAGAGGACAAGTGTAGTTTACTGAGTAGGAATGGGATAACAATGAATCAAAAATCTTGTAGTTAAGGAAATAAAACTGCTTTACTTGGCAAAAGTCAAGTAAAATGGTAGGCTTTCGTACTTTAACGACTTGGTTTTTATTTTTACAACCCAACACCAAGTACAGATGATCGAACTTGGCTCTTAATAACACTCTAAGTGTGAAGACTATTGATGCTATCCAATTGCCCAAACTAAACGAGTGGATTAGGGTTTAAATCTGCGAACTAATTGCTGAAACTTGAACATCTCAACCAGAGATACCGCTCAAATAAAAAAGAATATTGAACGAATATTTAATAAAAGATAACTGAGTAAATATATATATATAACTTAAATTTAATTTGCATCCAGAACTTTTCGATAAATAAGTTGAAAAACAGAGATGCGCATTTATATATATTTGATTAGCAAATACAGAATACTTTTTGACATCTTTGGTAAAACGATGTTTATGGTAATGGTCGTTCAAAAAGTTTGTTGGATGCAGACTAAAGAGAAATGAAATACGGGATGGAAATTAAGTTATAACACCATGTGTGATTTACACTAGGAGAATCTTTAGTATTTTAAAATTAAAAATAAATTAAATACTAAAAATCAAGACCCTACAAATATACAATACGAAATAAATTGTAAGTAAACGAACGAAAAAGGACAAAAAGAACGAACTATCACAGTCCAGACGGACAAAAGTAACATAGTTATTGCACTATTATAAAAAATGTAATGCACTTCTACACGAGATCATCTACTCTAACATACGAATCAGCATGGATCGTGAATGCTGTTTGTAGGGATTGAACAAAATCTTTTTCGAGAATCAGTAATTGAGTTAAGTTTGGAAGTTGAAGGTGCTGTTACCATGACCACTGTTTCATCAGATACCGACAAACTTGGAACGGGAAAACAATCGCGTTTACTGGGATCACAGTCAGCTATGATTTCAGGTAGTCTATAATCAAGATTTTAAAAAACAATAACTTGTTTAGTTGGTGCCAACAGATGCATAATATACCATATAAATTTTAAAAAATCACCAACTCTGCGCATGAATCTCGACAAATTTAGCTAAAATGTTAATGGTACTATTTGGTTTTTCAATTCAAAAGCAACTAATCCTGAATCTGAGTAGAGTCTAAGGTTTTGTTCAATGAATTTGAATGCCCATCTAAATACGTGCAGTACGATCTGAAAACTAGAATTAAATAACATGCAAGATAATGACATTGTTTCGGATATATAATTACATAAAAGTTAATATGGAATGAACTGCTAGTAGAAATTTGGAAATTTGTTAGGAGCTACTTCAAATCGATATTTATTGACGAATAACTGAAGGCATGTTAAAGATTTACACTCCCCTACCTCCTAAAAAGGTTCAAGGGTGGTATGTAAGTGAGAAGATACTTAAGTAAATAGTAAGACAGACATTGTACCTCGTATAAATGTATAATAAGTGATGATAAAGTAAAAGTTAAAAGTAAATCCTTTAACTGTACCTGCTCTTTTCTAAGCAGCGGGAGGCAGCTTCCTTGGCCTTTTCAACCCTTTCTGACAATTCTTTAAAATAAATGCTAGCAGAAGCTATTTGTGGAGCGTCTTCATTACCAGGCTCAGATTTCTTTTTGACTGTAGACAATTCAATTGAATTGTGGTGTACAAACCGCCTAGGCTCAGACTTGACAGGGACTTTTAATGTAGCTATGTTAGAGATGTCTGATCCCCACAGACGATTAATCCATCGCAATCTTTGTACCTTAGAACATAAGTAAGCGAAATACGTTTCTTACTGTTGTTCCAAATTGTACTGCGATTGACACAAGAGTATCTCCAGGTTTGACGTTATAGATTATATGAGGATTTTGTGAGGCATTTGTAGATTCTAGAGTCCCGTATTGTCTTTTAGGTCCAGAGGACAAGATAGACGACCCTTCAGACATAAGACATAAGACAACTTAGCAAATTTTCGAATGTAGCAGGAACCTTGGGAGTAATAATAAGTAGGTTATTTAAAAAACTCCATATAAGCAACATGTATATTGAGCAAAAAGTTGAATTCAAACAGTTTTAAATATCTTCGTGTAAAAATATGATATTCTTTAATATGGAGTTGCTGGGTAGACAGTGCTTATAGGTGACTGAACGTGAGAAAATGGAATCATACCTCGATTTGTAGTGGCTAGTACTATGCTTAGACGACTTCTAGCTTCTGAACAGATCAATTTGTTCATTCTTTTCGAGCCACACTTTAGACTTGTCGCTTACTCGCTTATTAACTGACTTTCTATATAGTCTTGTGTTAACTACTTTCCCTATTCATTGCGTATATGTAATTGCTTTATTTATCTCTTACTCTAAATATCAAGTAACACTTGATTGAATCGAGTTGGCTCACCCTATATCTATGCAGCGTGTCACCTTTTTTGGTTTTGCTTCGCCTTCACTTCGTTTCTTTGATTGTCCGTTCGGATAAATGAGTGTATGAAATATAGATATTCAAAATTCATTCTTGTTATTGGCTTATTTTATTCCGTCATTCTTTATTGTGAATTCAGTTAGTAATCATATACGAGGGTCGGCGGCATAAATAATCCGATAACAATCAGCATATGACTTAACTGTAGTTAGATATAGGGCAACTAAAGTTTTTCTCTCTTTGCGTCATGGAGCGCGATGATGGGTGTAACGGAAAGAGAATGATGAACGTCGAAGTGAGACAGTGTGCATGCTCTAGAGAGTTTTGTGGATGACTCTGAGGCGTAAGCAACAAACCATTTCTGTAACAGTTGCGTTTGCTTTTGCTAAATCTTCAATTAAGTTTGAGCTGGTCTATAAGTTCTCCGTATTTAATAACCTTTTATAACGCTCTGTGGAGATAACTCTGAGGGGATTTACTCAAGGGAATAAAGTTGTTGGTGCTCCATGGGCAAAATTAACATGATATGACATTTTCCACCAACCGTTTCCCTATTTTGTGATGTCTTTGTGGGACATTAGCAAATCCTCTTCGTTTCTTACGAACCTCCATATATTCACGTTATCAAACCAGACTAGAGCGGCTGAGATCATTATACTTAGAAAATCGTTGATAAGAATCAAAGGAAGTAGTGCGTTTAAAAAATACATCGTCAACTTCTGATGTTGAATACCTACTGTTAACATACACTCTCCCTAAATTAATCCAGAATATTCAGTTCTTCAAGTAATTTTTTATCCAGAATGAAAATATATCAGAATTACCCATCCTCGCAGCTTTTGCTGTAAGGAGGGTATGGAAAATGTAGAAATAATACATAAACCAGCATCTTCTCGCCGCAGAATGTTATTTTGTCATCCTATCTCAGGACCTTCCTTTCCTGAACCCGTTTTAGGCCAAGAATCTTGTCGTCTTCGTAAGTGTTTTTCCTCAGTCGACCGTTAATCAGCATTTTTATTACCTACGGTAGTAATGTGCCACGATCACTACTGTCCATCTGTGTCACTACATGAACTTCTTCAACTGGAAGCTGATCACGTAGTTTTGGGTTGTTTAATCAATAGAACTATCCATCTTCCACTCATTTCATTGCATCGATCACATTTTCAGTGGAGCTTAAACTTCTGATAACATCCTTGAGCCTCTTGAGGAACCGGTCACTAGGTATATCACTCTTCCTAATGTGATTTGGGAATGAAGTGTTAAATACCCCATATATGAGCGCCTGTTCATACATTTGGTGAGATATTAGTGACCGTAGAATAGTTGTTATTGTTCTTGGATACATTGATCATCCCACCTGTGTTCTGTCACTTTTCACACACATTTTTGAGCAGTGTAAAAACAAGATATGAGCCAAGCACTCAGTTGTGTGATTTATCATTAGGATTACTGTTATAACGTGAAAATGCTGCGGATTAAGGGGTAGCGAATTAATGATCGGACCAGAGACGCGCAAACACGTAGAACGACCTAGGGTTCTGATTGGTCTCGCTTCACTGTCTAGCCCAGTCAGTTAAGTCCAGAACACAAGTCACAGCCTCGGATATATGAATCATTATATTTCAAACATACTTTGTTTATATACCAGTCAACCAGACCACAAAGTACCATAAAATAGAAAATAACATTGTACAATAATGGCCAGTTGGAAAATGACACGTTAAACAAATATTGACCAATAAGGTGATAACATTTCATGTCCAAGGAGAGCATTAGGCTTAACAGGATAATTTTTGGGATATTTTCTTGAATATCCCAACAATTTCGTTCATTATTTTGTACTCATTCTTATGAATACCTATGAATTTTTGCCATTGTATACAAACATTTATGGATCTTTATGCATGTTTGTCTGACTACTCTGTAACACTATTGGGAGGTACTCTAACTTCAGTTCAAAACATCTTTTAAATTCACGCAAAATGACCCATATACATATATCTTTTCATCAGTTAATATACACTTTGTCTCTTTGATTTGCCCTTCCGTTTTCAAATGGAGAATAAGCTTCTTTGAAGAAGAACTTGTCGAACAACACTTTGTGTCGGAACGTTTTGTTATTCCTAAACAGGGCAAATTAATCGCGAAAGTACTTTCGTCGATCAGCAGTGAGAAGTAATACGAACGAGTTAGCGATAAAAAAACTTTAAACTAAGAACCAACAGAGTTAAATTGACTAGATAGTTTCTTACTTTTGTGTATTATTACCTGTGAGAGGACAATATATTTGCCCAATCGAATGCTCCACACAATGTTTGCTAAAGTTTATCTCCACTCCCCCTTCTGTTTGTATTTTATGTCACTTCCAAATACTGTCGTACATTGGACTATCACTTTGTCGTCTGTGGTATCAGGGAACTGGAAGTCTTCAACCATCATTATGATCTTCAATATGAGTTGCAAACTCATGTTTCTGATATCTCCGATTTTCTTCCTTAGTTAGCCTACATATCTGTTGAGACTCAGCTAATTGCAGCTTTTCACACTGTTTTCATATGGTGGCAAAGGTTGGCGGGGCTGTAAACAGGTTTTGGTTCGAAGATGGTCGGTCATTTAGTCAGTAGCTACAGTGTAACGGAGTTTGTGATTTTGTAAGTGATTTTACTGTAAGCCATATTCCAGTAATGACTCCGTCAGTCTCGCCGTCGGGCATTCCTGTGTGAGCTCAACTAGTGGTTCTGTTATAGCTTCTTTCGATGCAAATACAGCATCGTGTTTCGCTTTCGATGAATTTGTTAACGTACTTTTACTACAATCAAAACAAATTTCAGAAACACAGTCACCGGCGACTTAACATGAACTATAAGGATTGAAGCGTCTTAAATACAGTAGACCCATTTATTACAAAAATGTCATTCTAACGATGAATACCGGGTTCTAACTAAGGACAGGCACGCAATACAATTAGCGTTGTTGAATTCGTCTCATGTAGAAGGCAGTAGTTCTGAAAAATCTGTTTTGTGTATCCTTTGTTCCCATTTTTTTCTTTTCTTGTCAGTATTACAATAAATAGAATTTTTGTTGGGTAGTTGTACATGATTCTTAATGAGATAATCAATTTTGGTGTCAAAGTTGCATGACCAGTAATATATATTATTAGACGGTGTGCTTCACCTGTGTTTGTTCTCAGGTCTTTCAGCAACTTCGTGGAAATGCGAAATCCATTGTTTTGGATGACACCGCACGAAAAGCATTCTCCACAATTAAGGAACTTATTGCGAAAGCAACAATGCCTGCACAGCAGGACACTCAAGCACCCATTAGCATCGCAGTAAATTCATCCGACTCAGCAATCGGAGGAGTCTTACAACAATGGGTTAACAACTCCCGGCAACCATTGGCATTTTTCCCTAGACGGTTGCCAGACACCAAATCAAGGTAAGAACATTCGGTAGGGAACTTCTAGCTATGTTTTGTGCTGTATGGCGTTTTCAACACTACATCGAAGGCCGTGAATTCACTCTTTTCACTGACCATAAACCGCTCACCTTCTCTCTAAGCTCTTTTTCAGACAAGTACTCTCTCCGTGAGTCTCGACAACTGGATTACATTTTGCAGTTTACTTCAGACATTCAACACATTTCTGGAGCAAACAATGTAGTTGCAGAAGACTTGTCTCGCATAACTTCCTTGAACAGTTTACATGGAATCGACCTTCTTAAACTCGCCCAGCTTCAAAAAGAAGACACTGATCTTCAGCACGAGTTATCCTCAACAACCCTCAAGTTACGTATCAAACACATGGGAACAGGTAAGGAAACCTTACTGTGTGACACATCTACAGGTAGGGATCGCCCAATCGTGCCGAAACGTTATCGACGCAACGTCTTCAATAGGTTGCACAAACTTTCTCACCCAGGTGTTCGTGCAACCATCAGGCCTATAGAAAAACGGTTTTGCTGGCCTGGAATGAATAAAGACGTGAGGGAGCGGGCACACTCCTGTGTAAGCTGCGAAAAATCTAAGGTTATCAGACACAGTAAATGTCACTTAGGCTCATTTAAGACTCCCGATGCTCGTTTCGACCATGTTCGTCCTGATTTGATAGGACATTTACCAGATTCAAATGGATACTCTTATCTCCTAACCTGCGTAGACCGTTTCACTCGATGGCCAGAAGCAGTACCTATCAAGGACATTACAGCTGAAACAGTGGCCCACACCTTCGTCGAACGATGGGTAGCAAACTTCGGTTGCCCTTCAACCATCACTACAGACCGCGGACGTCAGTTCGATTTCGAACGTTTCCGTCGTCTGACCACACTTTTAGGGATCACTCGCTTCCGAACGACCGCCTACCACCCACAAGCAAACGGGTTAGTAGAACGTTTTCACTGACAACTGAAAGCTTCACTATGAGCTGCAAACGTTTCACAGTGGACCGACGCTCTTCCACTCGTCTTACTAGGTATCCGCAATGCAGTGAAAGCTGACATTGTATACACTGAGGCTCAACTGGTT